TTGTGATTAAAACTCGATCTTATAATTTATTTTCATGTACTTGTGTAGCTATGCCAAAACTAAGGTTTACTCGAAAATATCCAACTTGAAAAAAAATGATGCTGATATTATTTTATTCAATAGAGAAAATTAAACAATCATAAAATATCTTCATACCTTCTTGAAGAATGCATTATATTCAATCAGTCTGGCATTATTCAAATAATCTGACATTTGTATGAATCTCGATTTATTTATATTGCTAGATACATGTAGAATTCTACTTCATATAACGTTTCTAAAATCTATTTGAATGAAATATTTTAACCACGGATGTGTAAATTGCACACATATTTTCTCATATACTTTTATTACTTTTTTGGGGTTTCATAACGTTGCGCTCCAAGTCCATATTTCACTTTAATATATCTATTCAATAATAAATTATTTTATAGATATAAAAATCTTGTTTCACGTATTTAATAAATACGTTTTAGCAGCATCAAACTCAGGGTATAAATCTGCTTATATTTTATTTTCTGGATTTAATGTTTCTCAGTTTATTGTTGACGTACTAAAGAATCTAAACCGCTAAGAATCATATTATAAATGTTTTATATTATAAATATTTTTGTTACCTAATACGATTTTTTATAAACATATTCTCACTGCATGCATCAATTCAAAATTTATAGGTTGAATTAAATTGAATGGAGATTATTAAAATTGAATCGAGTGATATGTTTTTGTACATAATACATATAAAAATTATATATATTGTACTGCTGTTTAAGGGTTGTTAGAATATATACTTTAACAAGTATCATAAATAAATTAATTTTTCTAATTTTACTTGTTGTATTTTACTAAAATATGAATCTTAATAATAATTAATATGTGTTAATATTAATATGTGTTAATATTAATATAGTGTAAAAAAACTAAAGCAATCAAAACTCTCGCACTTTGACATGCAGACATTTTTAAACGGTTTTATAGTTGCTTTTGCACATATCTTTTGAAAACTTCGGATTGTAAAAACAAATTGAAATGCATTACATAATTCAAAAATATTCTAAGTACAAAATCAATAAACATTTTGTTAATACGATCTGGTATTTTCTATCAACCCAAATATCATAATCTATTTGGGTATTAAATATAAGCATACATAATATTTTTAATCAAATCAGTTTTAGAAAGTGTACGATTTATAAATATTTTGAAAATGTTGACTTCCAGCCAACAAAAAGTCCTGTAAAATATATTTGACTTTGTTTGGGATATAACATTCAAAAATCGTATTCTTTATTCAGTGTTTCATGGGTTTCAAAGGAGCTTTAGGGATTTTATTATTCGCACATCTCATAACACCAAATGGATTCTGCTAAATGTATTTGTATATTCCATTACACAATAATTATTATACGTTGGGGATAATGGTTCGAGTGTATATTCTTTTTCATTTTTATTATATCAAATTTAAATTTAAAAAGAAATTATATAAGAACGCGGTTGTGAAGCAAATGAATTTATTTGATTTATTTTGACTCCAGCAACCAAATTGCTTAGTTAGTAGATATAGTTAGTTTATGGCTATGTCCTTCCCACTTTTACATAATAAATTTTTTGTCAATATTGGATTTATAATGATATTAACAGCAATAAAACTAGTAGTAGTCATTATGTAAGTTTTTTTTTTTTAAATTTAGTTTCAATAAATATTTTTACAGTATTTTTAATACATTTTTAAAAAATGGTATTGTTTTTATTGCTCTTAAAAATGAGCATATTAATTTTAAGTGTTTTAGAAAATTTAGGAAAATTTAGTTTTACAATTAAAAATGCCATTATTCTTAACGAGAACAACGCAATCGAACTAGTTGGTATTGGTATTTAGCCTTGAGGCAAGTTACATGAACTTCCCGATATGTGTAAATAATCGACTTAATTAATAAAGAATACATTAATTTATAAGTGATTAAAAGTATGCCAAGAGGATTTATTACACATCATTAAAAACAAACGAACACGTTAACTCGGAGTATTTTCAAAAGCAACTTTCAAAAAATAAACAATTATTATATTTGAACCAGTTTCCGTAAAATTTTAATGGTTTAGTATGTTTATTAAGACCAAGTACTATATTGTTATTGCAAGTAAATCCTCTAATTTTAATTTTAGCTAACGTCAAAAAAACTACTCATTTTCTCAAATTTTGATGATTTTTTAAAATCAAACTACTTGTCGTAAGGCCGTAATATTACAGTAAGTTCTATAAAACCATGATATATATCGCTAAAAAAAATCCATAAAAAACGACTTAAATTTTTTTAACAGTTAATTACAAGAAAACGGCTCGGTAGATTTCACCTAAAACTAATCAGTACCATTCCCAACTAATATCTTTCGAACAGTTTTTGATTTTTTAAAATCGGTTCGGTAGGATGAGCTTAAATGTGGACGAAAAGATTAACACATTTTTTTCAAATTACAAAGAAACGGCTTGGCACAAAACTGACAAACGATAGTCCTCGTCGAGATACATCGAATGGCTTTTAAATTTTTGAAATCGGCCCAGCCGTTCTCGAAAAAACGTCGATTTACGGCAAAAAATCTGTTCACATACACACACACACACACACACACATACTTTTTCCAAATGTAATCTCACTCGGTTCAAGATGGTTTGAAACGTCTAGAAAACATAAAATTAGCGAATCGGTTTTTTTATGAAAACATAAACTTCTCCTTCGGGAAGTTAACAAAATCATTGATCATAATGCAAACATTACAGATATATAACATTGCTAATAGCGTTTGAAAAGGTATCATAGATATTTTTTCTTTACTAAATTATGCAATAGTTATTTTTATTTTTATATTAAATTGTACATAAAAATATTTAAAGTGTTGTATTTGAATAATACATAATGCAAATAGTTCTGTTAGGTTAAACAATCGTTATTAGTTTAATTTTTTTTTAAATTTTAAACGTTGGGTAAAGTTTTAAATGAGCCTTCAATTTTGTTATGAGCACATAAAGTTTAGTAAGCTATAAGCAAAATTGTAAGCTGGTTGTTTTCCTCATCCATTTGTATATATCATGAATTGATTAATTAATATCTTGACTATACTGCATATTTACAGATGTTGCGTTAAACTTATTTATATGTATGTATGTATGTATATATATATAATATATATATATATATATATATATATCTTTTATGTAAAATTTACGTGTCACAAAGTTTGATCCCGTAGTCCTCCGATACAGCTTTACCGATTCTTACCAAATTTTATATGCGTATTCAGTAGGTCTGAGAATTGGAAACTATCTATTTTTTATACCTTTAAGTTTCAATTTCTAATTTATTTTTATTGAGGATCGTCCATCCCTCTTATTTTCCCCTTGTAGAAATATGAAAAGCAATTTTTTTCAAAGAAAAGAGATTAAATATTATAATTTAAAGATACAACAGTTTTGGATTGGGAACTATAAAATTTTCCACTCTCTCGTTTTTTTCAATTTCAGTCAATTCGTTAAGCATGCCACATAACAATATAATTTAAAAATTAATTATCAAGTTTTGCTTCGTTATTCAAAAATTAATCAATTTATATAAAAGCGTGGTAATAATATATGATAATCTTTAAACTTCAAATGTGCCAATTCAATTTAAATAAAATTAGTTTTAGATTAGTTTGGCTGTTGCGAAAACTATCAATATAACCCGGAAACAGTTATATGTAGCATGCTTCGCAGTTGGTAAACTATTCATATATTTTTTGTTAGCTGCTCATTTCACGCATATACATTCGCAATCAGTTAGTTATTTTTACACTAAGCGTCTTAGACTAAAAATATTTTTTTGGAAGAACAACGTTCTGGCCGGGCCAGCTCGTATACATATATATATTATATATAAGGTAAAAATGAACAGGTTTTTTCTGCATCATACTATATAAACGTTTGAAAGAGCTATCGTTCTCTGTAGACGAACGCAGTTGTTGTTGAAAAGCTCTCCAGAGTCCAAGAGGTGGTTGCTATCCATTACTGTTGTAAATTGGCCATCTAGGTATAGTGAAAAGTTTTTGTACATATGGAAAACTCGCTAATAGCGAATAAATATTTTATTTGATTTTTTACATTTGAAATCACACTAAAATTGCAGAAATTATTGTTACCCATATGGTTATGAGTTGTTAAATGTGACATATAGATTTATGGCACTTTTTATATCTAATTACTGACATATTACTGAAAAAATATTAAAGTTGCAAATATAGCTAAGTTAATTTAAATTTTTATTATTTTTTTTTTCAAATTGATTCAACAATAAAATTATCAAGTATTTTACCATTTTACAATTGCGATTAAAATTTTGATTTTTTTTTAAAAGGCCTTTCAAAGCCAACCAATTTTAAAGCTTTTAATTTTATATTTCAACAAAAAGTCAGAATTCTTGGAAACCAGGGTATCAATTGTATTATTTCTTTTTACTGTAGTCCTAGAAATGTTATTTTCATCCAAAGTTTAAATGAACCAAATTAATGTAAGTTAAGCACAATAACCGAAAACGGTCATAAATTTAACAAAGCTCTAAGTTGCACTTGAAAGCTCATAATTTCCAAGCAAAGTAAGATATAAGGTTGTCAAATATCTCCCTTCCGCCTTTTTGTATAATAAACCAATAGCAAAAAAGCGGAAGGGAGATATTTGACAACCTAATATTTATAATTAGTATAAGCTAAACTTCTAAACTAATCCTTAATATTCATACCCCCAATTTGTAAATGAACCCTATTAAAATTCTTTTACTTGCCTTCTATCCATTCAAGTATCTATTTTCCAAGTTTCGAATAACTCAATACAAAGCATATATTCATAGCATAATTCACTCGAAATTGAACTGTTTTGTATTCGAATATTCCAAAATATGCTAAATATTGAATTTCAATCAGAAGCGTAGGCAGTAGGCAGTAGGCACAGTGCTTGACATCTGATATTATTTCAGAGACAACTGAACGCTCAACGGTGTATCGTGTCATACGACGCCAGTTTCGTGCTGCTCCTGACAGACGAGAGATCAGACGGTGCCGTTTATCACGTTTATGAGGTCGCCACGAGGTAAGGATAATTGATATTAATATTTGATTATTTAGATTATGTTCAATTTAACCAAAGTTTACATTAATATATGTTGATTGGCGATTAGGCTTAAAACTTATGCCATACTACAGAGTTCTTATCTCGCGTCTTTATATATAAAAACAATTCAAAGAGCACAGTCAAAAATACTACGAGCTATAGTGAACGCGCCCTGGTATGTCTCCAGCGAAACAATTCATCGAGACCTAAACATCAAATATATACAGAAAGTTATCAAGGAGAGAAGTACGAAATATCATCAAAAGAGCGCATACCGTCCAAACACTTTAATAAAAGACCTGCTAAAACAAGTTCCTATGAGAAGATTAAAAAGAAAGTGGCAGCAAGATTTAATAAATTAACAATCAATATATTTATGTAAGGAAATTCCCCACTGGGAAAATTTCTAAAAGCCTTGTACCCGTCAGCAAATAACCTCATTGAACCCAAGGTTCAGATTGGTTATAAGAAATAAATAAAAATAAACAAAAATTGTAATAATAATTAAATTTAATTACAAGACTTAAAATCACTACCTTCTTATAAATAAAACTCAATAAATTGATGACATAGTTAAAACTTTAGCAAATTTTATGAGGGTAAATCGTTAAATCGGACTTCATCTGAATCAGAGGTCCCAGATTCGATCGCGCTTCGAGGAGTCTGATGTCAAGCAATAGTGATATCGACATATTATTTTTTGCAATTTGTATGTGCGTATATAGCACTAACTTTTAGATTTTCGTCTATATTTATTTATACAAGATTAAGGCAGCCGGATTGAACAAACAAAACGAGAAATGAGAACACTTTAATGCTCCATCACAATTATATGACTATGATCAATACAAATCCCAGCAAATTCATCATTTCAGAAATGTGTTTTTTTTGCTGCTTTACGAAAATTTGTAACGCGATAATTTTGGAACTGCCCGGAGGCAAATAGATCCAATGTTTCATTTTAATTGCAAATGGTCTTTATAAAATAATAGCTACATTATTTGCAAAATTGCAAAACGTATTTTTTTGCAATCCTTGTAAAATATAAATTTCATTGATACATTTTTTACAAAGAATATTTCTGACAAGTGGTAACACTGTAATTATCCTTGATTTCGTATTTTGTCAGAAATATTCATGAGCAGCTTTAAGTTCTGCGCTCTTCCTCATATATTTATGCACACACTTAAATTATATTTGTAATATAATTATTTCGCACATATTTATTATATTGCTTTAGATACTATAGGGGGACTGGGTACAGTTGTGACACTATTTTTTTGATCAGCCTTGATTTTTAGCTAGCTGTAAAATTGGTCTACGTGAAAATAGTGAAATGCTGTGCTTAAATACGTAGTCACCCTCAGACGGTTGTGACTGACATAACAATAGATTAAAAACTAATATTTATAATCAACAAATTGATTTATAACGACTTTTATTGTCATAAATATGTAACACAACACAACATAATAATTGAAACCTTGCTTCTTATTATAATATAACAGAATATAATTAACCATAATTTTTTAAACAAAGTTAACCATTTTTTTAAACTGGGTTCTTAGGTTAGATTTTTCTTTATCTGTTTAATATTTACCTGAAAAGGACAATACTGGCAACCACATGTCACAACCGTACCCCACACACACTTTTGAAAGCAAATTATCGTTACGACTAAGCTAAATTATCTGCGCAAAAACATAATGACAAGGTAATCTATCTGTATACGTGTAACACTATTTATTAGAAAAAGTCGAAACAAAGAAACTTTTTTTGACTCTTTAAAAGCAATACGGTCTACAAATCATGTTAATATGAGGCACATACTGAAAGCAATATTAAGAACTTGTTCGAACAATCATACTTCATCTTTTGGTTTAGGACTCTAACTCAAAATCAGTAAAATTTAGTTCTTGAAGCGACAGTCACCACCGTACCTTGGCACAACCTTATCCAGTGTCATCTGCTAATTTATTATAAAATGTGTAATTATCATACTACCATTAAAGTGAATAACGGCATTAAACAAATTATAATGGAACAAAACTGGCATTGCCAGAATTTATTATTAAAGGTACAAAATATTACTATTAAAATGAAATTGCGTTATCTCAAAAGTTCTAGTTGCTTTGAGGTATTATTTATTGTTACAGCAATGTTTGCAAGTACTTCCTTGATCTTAGATATCTCTGTTTGTTGGAATGCTTTGTATAGAAACTTTTGAAATATTGTTTCAAAAGTAACCATTTTGTATTGTAGGATGTGATTCAAACTAATGTGATATTTTATCAAATCAGTAAATAACAATCTTACATACTATAATATTGAATATTAAATTTGATGACTTGCGGGAGGTTTTGTGCAAATTATTCTTGACACTAATGTATCTCTGATTATCAGAATTTGAGAAAAATTCAAATTAAAATCATTGATTTTTATATGTATGAACTTTAAAATATTTACATGTGAAACATATGATTTAACCATTATTTTTATTTTAGAGTTGCCGTCATTGTTTTTATTGCTTTTTCTTAAGCACTACATTTTTCTAATCTTCATATTTTAATAACATTAACCAGAAATCTATCTTTTATATCCGTTTTAATTAGTTAAATTTAGCGTTACATATTCATACCATCAAGTGTAATTTCAAGCTTTTAAATAATTGACTAACTACATTTGCTTTATATATTTTTTACTTAAACTACACATCTTATTGACACTTTACTGTAGAAGCAGCTCAATATATAAAACTACTTTCACTTTAAAACAGAATTTTATATGCATTCAAAGACAATGAAAAAATTAGTGCTAATTATTATTATTTGGTTGACTAAATAATTTTGTAGTGTTCAAATTTAGTTGCACATTAGTATTCTCTATGTATTTATTTAATTAAGAATCTCTTTGATGATACTTGAGCAAATTAGCTCGAATTAAGAGTGGTATTGCTATGATTTTTTATACAAAAACAAAAAAAATGTATCAAATATATTGATATTGTGTGTATTAAAATCGTTACTGAATTATTAAACTATTGATTTTTAATTAAATTCGTCTTATGAGTGAAACCAAATTAAATCAAAATACTAGTAAAATCAATGCAAGCACAACCGTAAAATTAAGAAATATTTATAGAAATAAAGCATTCCAGATACTAAAAGTTGCCTAAATGTTTCAAATCAACCGCCAAAGTGTAACATGGTAATTTTATTTTTGAAATAATAGAACTAATACTAACTATATACTTATTACTTGCTTCTGAAGCGAACTTCAAAATTAACAGACTGAGAACTTCAAAATTATAATTATCAATTAGAAAACATTAAAACTGCTAAACATTACATGCTAAAAGCTTCTATGAATATTTGATTCCAGGATACAGTCATAATTCAAGACTATTATGTATTAAATGGTTTTAGCAGTAAACAAATTTATTGTTAGATCACATTGTAAAATTGTAAATGTTATATTGACGCAAATACTAATATTTTATTATGCACTAATATATCCAAACTAGGGAGTTAAGTTAGCTTTATTAGGGTTTAAAGTATCACATTAGGTATGTAATAATGTATCATATATGAAAATATTATGGGACCAAATAACCAAGTGGCTATTGTTCCTAAACTTAATAACCTATAAACATGCAAAGAGCTTTTAGAACTATCGTATTCATAATAATGACTAAATTCATTTTATGTATGTATAGTTTTTATAGTTGAAATATTATTTCTTTGCAGAAATAATTTTTTGCTGTTGCCTCGAGAGAGCAAAACACCGACGCGGCTTCAAACCGCAGCATGGGCACCCAAAGGAGCTGCGGTTGCTTTTGTACATGAAAATGACCTGTACTACAAACCCAAAGTATTACAAGATTTAGTTGTCAGAGTTACTAATACCGGTGAGTTTACTATAGACATATATTACAATAGACATTGAATTTTACCGATAAGCACTACATTATAGTTTCAGTCATTGAATAAAAATTATACAGGATTGTCGCTACGGAACATACTATTAATTTCATTATATAGCAATTTTAATACATATAAAGATATCTATATATTGACTTAGCGAAAAAGCGCTATTATCTCCACATGACATTGCAACTAAAGCTTTAGTTTGCTGCAGAGACTTGTGCTTTAATAACGGCTCGACTTCAATTTATTTTAACATGCTTTAATTTTAAATAATTTTGCTCTTGTAACTTGAGCATATCATGAACTTAATTTATTTCGCTAATAGCAAACATGAAATGTTTTTCAATTATGGCTATAAAAATGACACAGTTGAGTATTTATTAATATCATACAAATCGTATAAATTAAATTAAATTAGTCAAAAAGAAATAATAAACATTATTGCTTAAGAACACTTTATTGCAAGAAGACAATTTTCTTTGTGTATTATATATTTATTTTTTACGTTAGTTAGTGCAAAAATGCAAAAGATTTAACTTTTTGCACTCAATTTGTTTTCCATGTTAACTAAAGCAACTCGATGCTAAATTTTAATGCGTTATGTAAAAGTGAAATTAAATAGTATAATTTTAGAACCAAATAAGGATTTGTAATGAATTATTTCATGTGAGTGTTTAAACATTTAGGAACAATTTTTTTTATTTATTCGCGCGTATTCTGAATTGGTATTATTTATAAAACATGTATATGTTCGCTTTTTTCAAAGTATTTCATATTTTAATCCGAGCACAAAGGATTTCAATATGAACAAATTGATATCATTCGTAGGTAGCGGAATAAAATATAAATAATATTGTGTTCTTTGCATATTAAAACTGTAAAATTTCTAAATCTAAGAAAATTTTCACATCGTCACAAATTATATTTGTAAAAAAAAGTTTCTTTATAACGCCTCAAATATTTACCGGCATGCATTGCAAATAATTGTATGCATAACATGTTATTTTATAACATAAATGTTTGCTTAATAAATTAGTATCTGTATAAAATATATATGAATCTATTTTTATTATAAGATCACTTGCTTGTATAAAGGTGCTAAATAATTCATTGTGTATTAAAACTTTGAATTCCCAAAATATTACTGCGTCTTGGGTTTTTCTAGAAGCAATATTTGTTCCGAATTCTGATCGTTTGTCCTGGGTTTTCAAAAAGCATTGATTTAAATTGAATCTTTGTATTAACTAGAAAATAAAATTACAGCTACCCATTAAATATTTGGAAATAATATATGCAATTATACAAAACAATACGTTATAAATGAGAAAATTGACAAATACAAATTTCCAAAGGAGGGCTAAAGCAGTTTCTCATAATTATAACTTCTAACGTTTCAAAAATTTTAACTTTTTAAAATTAGGAAAACTAACTTTTTGACTACCTGGCACAAGTGCAATTTTTCAAATTAATTATGAAAGAAATTTAAAAGAATTGTTTATTGTTTGATAAATATGAGATAATGACATCATAGGTGAAAAAACGTATATATATATTTAGCATATAATCAAATTTTAAAGCTCTTACTAAGCCGGTAATTCTGATTTAAAATCAAATTATTTCATTAAAAAAAAAACTTTTTGTTTAGGTATGTGTTCAAGCTTAAGAATTTATTACAGTTCAACTATATTTAAATCAAAAACGGTATCTATTCGTGAAAACGTGAGCATTTATAGTTTAGATATATGAACTTCGGTTTAAAAACCAAATCATTTAGAGTTCAAATCTTACGTTTACGCATACAAAATCATACATTGCAACAGCGATATATGTTTTCACTTGAGAAATATAGACCCCAATTTTTGTCGAAGTTAATCACATCATACTTAACAATGTCGGTAAATAAAATTTTTTACTCATCAGGGTTGTCTTCCGATTGCTAGGTATAAAATATACAATTTATGGAACACTGAGACTAGTTCTGATTGCTGTTTAAACAATAACGCAAATAATAAAAACATATTGTTGTTGTATCATTCATAACAGATATGACATGTACCAGGTATTCAATGCATCGACATAGCCAGTAATTTTATAACAATATAACGTATATTCACGAACATCAATGCATCTAATCGAAACCCACAATAGGATTACCAACAATATCCTCTAACAACTCTGAAACGGCCTCCGATTACTACGTGCCCACTAATTCGGTGAAACGTGACTGTAAATTCGCGATGTTACACGGTGCAGGTACATAGAATGGTTCGTTGCTCGGCCGTTTGCTTTTGCCAACAAAGCTCGCGCTTTCCCAACAATTTGTCAAGCGACTCGTGGGTACTATTCACGGCGCGACACTGCGGCACCTATAAACAACATGAATGCGATCTAGGCGTCGAACAAGTGGGCTATTTGTATATATGTACATATACATGTTGTTCATCCTGGATGAAATTCTATACTACTGAAACGATTTCAAATATGATGTCGAACTGAATACAATTTTTGGCGTTGAATAGCTTATATCTCAAATTATTGTCACAATATTATATTAACTTCCCGTAGGGTAATTTATAGTAATCTCAAAAAAATCGAAAATGAAAGTTTTTATATATTTTTAAGTTTTAAGGGTTTTTGAATATTTTGGCACACCTTAGAAAAAATAGATATGTATGTGTGAGCTGTTACAAATTTTTGTCGACGATTTCGGGAACACTGATCAACCGATTTGAATAATTCAAAAAACATTCGATTCGTATAGATAAGGAAATTTGCTGATTAGTTTTTGGCAAAGGCAGGTCTAGCTCTTCCGAAGATACGGGGCAAAATGTACCAAAAACTGTAATTCAGTTTTTAAGAGAACGGAGTGTCCGATTTTAAAAATTCAGAAAATATTTTACTTGTATTGACAAGATGAATAATTCATTAAATTTTTGCGAAAGCAGGTCTAACGGTTACGGACTCTCAATAAAAATAAGCTAAAACTAGTGGGGTGTATGGCATCGTGCCTTAAGAACTTCCCGTAACGTAACGAAATGTTTGAGGAATACTGAATGTTTTCAAATTGATTATTATAAATATTGTAGCATATTTATAAGAATTATATAAACTGAATTGCAAAGTTAAAATTATTTGTTCTAAGTATATTAGAACTTTAGTCTGAATTAAAAATAAAATCTGAATTTTTTTCGATGTACAAAAAAAAACTAAAAAATAAAAAAAAAGATGATACATTTTTATTCCAAAATCAATTATTTTTTTAAAATAAGCTGAAAAAGTTCTTTGAATCATTTAAATCGGACGCTTTGTTCTCTCAAAAACTGCCATTTTTTGCACATTTTGCTCTGTATCTGCAAAATGGCTGAGCCTGCCTTTACCAAAAACTAATCAGCTCATCTCTCTATCAATAGAAATCGAATGTTTTTCAAATCGGTTGAACCGTGCGCCCGAAAACATGCCTGTAAATTTGTATCTACATACACACACGCATCAATTTTTTCTGATGTATGCCAAAATGTTCAGAAACCTTCAAAACGTCGAGAAATGTAAAAAATTTCTATTTCGATTTTCAACCCATTACAATAACTTACCCTACGGGAAGTTAGAAATGTCATTTGGAGATCAAAAGTATTTATTGGACATATGTATATTAAATTATCAGATAGTTTATGGATATTTTAACAATGTGTACTCATTCTGTGTGACTTTTTTTGGATACGTACCAAAATTATTCATTACGGTACGGGAAGTTCCAGCAATTTGCCTTAAGGCACGACGTCATACACCCCAATTATTGTATTTATTATCTTTCTGTATGGTAATAGTTTCAAATACCATTCTACGGGCGGAGGTAAAAATTGATCACATTTTTGCGAAGACAGGTCCAGCGGTTTCGGAGTTGCACATAGTTGGACAGGTAGACATGTCTATTGGTAGACAGGTGTACAGATGGACAGGTAGGCAAGTGGATAAATAGAAAGATATACAAATAAAGCAAACACAAATAAGACAGATATACAGGTAGACAGGTTGATAGAGGTTGATAGGTTGAAATTAAAACCGGTAGATAGGTAAAATTGTTCAAATTCAGATAGGTAGATAGGTAGAAAAGTAGAATATTAGGCAAACAGGGTCGACTGGTAGGCAGATAGGCTGATTGGTAGATTGGTAAAACGTAGACAAGTAGACAAGTAGATAGATACAAAAGTAGACAAGTTGACAACTGAGACAAGTCTACATTTGAACAGGTAGTCCTTTCAACGGATTGTGTCATTTCTACTGTGGTCCTAGAAATATTACTTACGGTTCCAGTTCCAACGTTTCAATATAAGAAAGGGTTATTTAATTAGCAAATTTATAATTCTTATTGTTGAATTTATTATTTTCATATTTCGGAAAGCCTATGCAAGTTTCTTAAGGTAAAGTTCCACTTACAACTACTTATTTTAAACAACTTGATGTTACAGAACATATTTTAATAGTAAATGGTTCCTGTTTTATACGCATGGCGAATATACTCGTCAATACAGTAAATTTTGCACTTCTCCATACACGAGTATATGCGTCAATCATAGTTCACTGCATTTGCTAATCATAATCGTCAATCATAATGCATTTATTATAGCTCTGTTGCAGATTGGTAAAACCAACTTAATAGTCTTATAGGTCAATTAATGTCAGATGTATGTCATTTATAACACAAAAAATATAACAAAAATTCATCTACATTTGAGGGAAGATATGTAATTGGAGATAAACTTTTTAAATGCATAAAGATTAGCATATTGCCTTAATAAATAATATTATTTTGATCGGCCATAAATCAGGGTTCTAACACTGTGTTTTTTCTGCACGCAATTCATGCTATACACGTAAAAGTTGCCTCATCGCTGGAAAGGTTAATATATGAAGTATGACAATTAACTAACAATTTAAAATTTGTAAGTAGTAAAGTGTAATATATATTAAAATCCGCGAAACA